GTTTAGGACTTGAATTGAAATCAGAACATACCGGTTAGGGAGAATAGACACAAAGTGAAGAGCAATAGGGTGCAGTAATTAGCCTTGGCTTGCAGNCTTAGCTTGCAGCTGGCTAATTCAGTAATAGTAGCAAGTAACAAGAAAGAGAGCAGAAAAGCTTTAAGTGTGTGAGGGAGTTGTGAACTAATGTTCGTGTGTAATGAGAGTAGAAGAAAGCATATATATATNTTCCAAGTTCTCCAATTACTGAACAATTTGATTCTTACCTTATTTACCTAGCTTTCAAACTAATATATATATATATATATATATATATATATATATATATATATATATATATATATATTAGTTTGAAAGCTAGGTAAATAAGGTAAGAATCAAATTGTTCAGTAATTGGAGAACTTGGAATCAATTAAAGTGAAATCAGTCTAAGTCCTCCCTTAATTAAGGGAGTCATTTCAAACGGTAAAGAACAGGTACCAAATAAGGAAAGAGTTCAAAAGACCTAAGTACAGAATAATCAATTAGGGGTAGATACATAGAGTTCTAATTAAGAAAATAATAGTAAGAATCGAGCAATAATGCAGTCAATCACATAAAAATGTAAGAAAATATTTTAAAGGTTGTGAAAACAGGAATAGTAGCCGGAAATCAGTAAAGAGTATCATCCCAGGAAATCAAGGATTTAAAGAATCGAAAAATAGTACTAATACTAAGGGAAACATTATAAACTTCCATGAATAACAAGTACTGAGTATAGCCAGAAAGAGACAAATCAGAAACCCAGTAAGACATTATTAGGGTAGAAATCACTAATAGAAATATATTCATGGGCTTCGAACACACACATAGCAGAATCGACAAACAACAACGAACTCGGGATTATAACATAGTGTTAAAACTGGGGTTTTAACATAACAAATTAGGATTAAAAAGCAATTTTAACAAAAAGTCATTCAAACATATGAGAATCAGAGAACAACATTAGAAGGACCATAAATATGTTTTTGAAAAAAAAAAGTTTCCAGAAACCCTAATGGGAAAATAAAGGGACGCTTTGAGAAATCGAAAAGTTTTTTCATAAAACAAACGAAAATAGCTCAGAAAAACCTTAGATCTGTTACAGATCTAAGAGGTACAGGAGAAGAGATTACGATTTTCTAGAAAACAACCCAGAAATAGAGACCGGCTTAGAAACTCATAGGTTTAGCCGAGAAATATGAAGATCTTACTCAATTGGGCCATGGTGGCCTGAGAATGGCGAGAACAGGCCATGGGTGGTGAGTGAACAGCCACTAGTCCATTGAGGACCTCAAGACAGCAAAAATCCGATCATGGGGGAGCCATTAGGGCTAGGGGTGGTGGTGAGCCACCATTATTACCGGCGAGCAAGCAGCCGACGAAGGGGAGTTAGGGTTTAGGCAGAGGGAATTTGAGAGAGAAGGAGAGGGGTGACGGCGGGTGAGTGAAGAGTGAATGGGGGGTTTGGGGGTATAGGTTTAGGTTAAATTAGGAAAGAACGAATCGGGGTCGTTGATCAATTTTGATCAATGGCCAGGATTTAATCAGCATTGGGTCGGGTAGTATTAGGAATTGGGCTTGGGGTATGGGTTAGTTTAATTAAGGGTTTGGGCTGGTTTAATTAAGGCTAAAATTGAAATAGAAATGGGCTATTTGTTAAATACCCGAATTGAATTAGTCAAAAATAGTTTATAACATAATTATTAATTATAAAAAGTGATTCTATTGCATAAGAATAAATTAGCAATGATTATTTGGTATTAAAAAATATAAAGGACTAATTTCTGGTAAAAATAGTGCTAAATTATACGTATGGGCTATAATTGCAAAGTTATTGCAATTATAGCCTAGAGGTGCCAATTTGGCTATTTATGGAACAATTTGGTCTTAATAGGACCATAAACAATAAATTAAATCAAGAAATGCCTTTGAAATCATTTGTGATGCAATTTTGTAATCATTTATTGGAAATAAAATACTGGACAAATTAAAAAATGTAGAAAAATTATGAAAAAAAAAAATACCAATTGGTGTTAATGCATGATTTTGAAGGTATATATGCAACTAAAAGTATTTTGGGAAAAATTGGGTATCAACGATCGAACTCTGGCATGTCACGCCCCGGTCTCGATTAATCATAAAAACGGACAAGTCCGATTTTGACCGTAAACAAGATACACAAGCCTGCTACGGTTGTAGTACGGTGAAACCGACAATGTAAAAAGTTTACCACTTAACTACTTAATCAAAATCTATATATCCTCTAAATGACTGTTTTCCCTCCTCAAAAGTGAGCAAATACTTGGTAAAATTATTCTATATATGCAACAAATCTCCTTCACTAAAAATGGAATGGCAATGATTTCATGGAAAACTTTTGCCAGATCAAGCATACATGGGTATGTGTTAGCCAGCTAAAGTTGTGGGGGCATTAACTAATTCAAGGCATCTAAAATTTGGGGGAAAAAGAAGAAGTTAAAGGCATCTGAAATGCTTCAGCTGTAGCTCCAAGGATAAGGACGCCACGTCCGCCAAGACAATATTATAACAGTGACCTAATTTTATCCTCTTTCTTATCCACCTTTCTCTGCTTTCATCATTGCGCTTTGGTTTTTATAATGACGTAGTAATGTGTAATTTCTATAGCTTCTCGTACAGTCGTACTCGCTCAAAGAGTATGCAAAAACACAAAAAGTCTTGTATATTCTATAAGTTTCTTATGTTGTAGAGTCTCGACTCTCAAGAACTACAAAATTGTTATTTTCGATAAAATATTTTTAACATTAACGATACAAAACTTTACTAATATAATAGGTAAAATACTATGACACGTGAAATTAACCGTGAATACTTTTCAACTACGAACATAATATTGATACAATGTTTGTTTGGTCACATAAAAGAAGTTATTCCATAACTATATCTGGTTTTTTATTTGCCCATAAGAAAATAGTATAGAGAGAAATTCTGAAACTGTGATATAGTAATATTGGAGACATAATCTTTTTGGTACTACTATACCCACCAGTGTGTACGTGCCTCCTAGATCAATTTAGTTCTCGTCCATTTTGCCACTTGCTTCTTTGTTGGATAATAAATTCTACACTTACTCGGAAAATAGAAATTGAAAATTACACTAATAATTGACATTGAGTATTCATATGGGAAAAATATGATTTTGTGAAGCGATAGGTTAATACTCTGAGCAAGGATAAAAAGAAAAGGAGAATCCAACGGTTGAGGGGCTGTCATCCGCGGTGACCCGGAGCCGCTTTCGCCCTCCAACCCAACCATACACAACGCAACGATCTCCCCTAACTCCACTTTACCCAACCCAATACTAATACTACCCACTACTCAATCACACAAAATATATTATTCTCGCTCTCCTAATTTATGGGTGTAGCAACCAAAATGTGGTTCTTTTCACTCAAAGAATGAAAATATGTGGAAAAAAATATAGTAACCATAATATATACAACGTCTTTTTAAAAGACGCTATATATATAACATTTTTCACTAAGACGCTATATATATTATGTGGACCCATAAATAATTCTTCGGGCTTAATTGATATAACAATAATTCAACTGGGTATAGTGTCTTAAGCTAAGACGCTATACCTCAAATAATTCGCCCCCCCCCCCCCCAGACTGGTTTTTGCCTTATAAGGACGTTAAGGATTTTGTAAAAATCCATTCAGAAATATTCTCAAGTCTTGTCAAATTTTTCTTTGTTAACTTGTTTTGCATTTTGTCATAATGTTTGAAGAGCGAAGAATTAGGGTTTCATTATATTGGGGGGTGAGGTTGTGGTGGCGAATAACTCAGTGAGCTATAGTTTATCTCCACAGTCTCATGTTAAGTTGCCACTTACAATGGAGTACGATACATTGGTATCGTTGTTATGTAAAAAATGAGTGTGAGCAAACGTTCGGTGAATCTTAAAATAACCTGAAGATATCTGTATTCTGTGACTCCGAAAGGGGTTGCTTGTTATGCTGAATTTAACATCGAAGACGATGAAACTCTGAGAGATTTTTTGAGGAGTCTGAATGAATACCGAAAATTTATCGTGATAAATTAAAACTGTTGGAAATGTACGTCAAGGATGAAGACGTTCGCAATAATGAGGTTGTGCAAAGTAGGGAAATCCCTTATTCATCAGGAGTAGTTTTAGCCGAACAAGTTCCGGCTGAAAGAGTTTGGCCAGATCTAAATTTATCTCCACGGGCGAATGAGGAGCGAGGAAATAATTTCTCCCCTAATATACATAATCCACAAGTCGAGTGGTAAGCTTCAATTTTTCTTTGTATTACGATGTATATTTTTGTGTATTGTATTTGTATTAACACTCATATATTCCACAGGGGTACTGACCATATATGAATTTTACAAGTTATGAACCAACGGCCAGTTGGAATATGCCTAGTTTTGGTGTCATGGATCATGGTGGTCCATCCGGGAGTCAGCATCAACAAGATAATGTGCATCATGAGATCAACACATTATGATTTGTAAGTAAATATATAAAGTTAAATATATTGTTTGGAAAAATTTCACAAGACTTGAAAATATTTTTGAATGGATTTTTACAAAATCCTTAACGTCCTTATATAAGGCGCTATATATATTATGGTCACTGTGTTTTTTTCCCACATATTTTTATTCTTTGAGTCCAAAAGAACCACATTTTGGTTCCGAACTCCTAATTTATGTGGTGAAACTTTGATTTCGAGAGTTGAACTTTTTAATTTTATTGTAAATTTGGACATAAACTTTTTAAGTGTTTTAAAACAAAATTTATATATTTGAAAACTATATAAAAATTACCATAAGTAACGATAATTAACAATTCAAAACACATGAAAAAATCACGGTCAAATAATGACAGCAATGGAAAAGCTTTTTTTTTTTCTTCTTAAAATTTGGTCCGAGCAATAAAAGAACTAACACAAATGAACTCTAGTTAACTGCACACTCAAGTGACAAAAGGAAAAAAGAAAAAGAGGAAACTGATCATGCTTAGTCTTCTTTATATGTACGCCCTTCATTCTCCTTGCCATGTCCATACTCTTCTTTCTCTCCTATTTCTTGCTTAGTTTCTGTATTGGGGCAAAGAATTTGATCTTTGTCTCCACCTTCCTCCCTATTAACAAGTCTTAATATTTCTTCATGCCCTAAGCTAGTGAATAAGCTATACCGTATATATATATATATATTTTTTAATCAAGATACATAAGGAGAGAGAATCATGAGTTGTAATGGTTGTCGAGTCCTTAGAAAGGGATGCAGCGAAAACTGTATTCTTAGACCCTGTTTGCAATGGATTGAAACTCCTGAAGCTCAAGGCCATGCCACCATTTTTGTTGCCAAGTTCTTCGGCCGTGCCGGTCTCATGTCCTTCATTTCCGCTGTCCCTGAAAACCAACGGCCTGGTATGTACGTCGTAAATTTCTTTGGATTTAAGTTATATATACACTCTGAGCATAAACTTTTTTGCACTGTTAGCATCTGTTGTAACATATAGTCTATCTTACTTTTATGTTTATTTAATTAGTACTACTAGTTCCACTTGTTAAACTCAATTTATTTTACACTGTCATGTACACAAGTTAATTAAACTCAATTTCTTTTTGTTTTCTTTGTCTAATCTCTCTTCTATTTTTTGTTTCTGAAATAAGAAATTGGATGTATTGGTAGGTCTATTTCAATCCTTGCTATATGAAGCAGCTGGAAGGACAGTAAACCCAGTGAACGGAGTTGTGGGACTATTATGGACTGGCAATTGGCACGTTTGTCAAGCGGCGGTGGAGACCGTCCTCCGCGGCGGCACGTTAAGCCCGATACCGGAGTTATTCGGTAAGTCATCAGAACTTGATGAGGAATCTGAATGCACACACGTGTTTAAGCTTCTAAATCATACGCAAAATACGCGATCGAAGATGCAAAAGCGGCGTGGTTCTTCAGACGAAGCAGCAGCAAAAGTGTTGCAGTTGGAAAATCTTGATCTCAGTTTATTAACACGAGGTTTTCAGAGTGAAATCGTGTATAGTCCTTTGCCGGAGAAGCGGCGGCCCAGAACTCCGTCAAGAAAATCAGAGGAATCTGTAACCACTACGTATTTCGAGAGTAGTCTTGGAGATCATCAAGGAAAACAACCCAGACTCCTGAGCTTGTTCACTTAGGTTTTTTATTAACTTGAAACCTTTTCTTTTTTTTTGGTTAATGAGGAAGGGTTTTTTTCCGGGAAATAGATTCTGGTGAGATTTTTTTGTACATTACTGGCTCAGGATTCTTCAAGCTTTTACTTTCTGATATAGTACAAGAAAGTAGAAACATGCATGGGGAAAAAAGAAAGTTTGCCGGTGTTTCCTTCTTTTGTGTTTCTTTGCTTTCTTTTTGGTGTCTAATAACCAGTCTAATGAACGTTGGACATGAATAGAATGATATGTTTACTGATCTCAATTGTTTTGAATTGTCGAGTTTAACTTCTACTCAACGACAGTGTGGAGGAGCTTTTACGACATTAAGTCATAAAATTTAATTACAGATAACCATTTAAAAAAAAATATGATAGTAATTTAGAAAATAAAACATGTTATTACTTAGCTTGCTAAACATGTTAAGCAAGTCTATACTATATGTAAAATCAATTTTCCTTATATTTTTTGATATAGTTGAATGTTTACCTGTTTCTTGAAGTAATGGCGTCCTGATCCTATTGTTTATACAGATAACCCAGTGTACATATTAGATATGTCAAAGGAAGAAAATAAAATAAGAGTAAAGAAAGAAGCGGCCTTTGGTGCTATTAAGCTGAACATGCTTGACGTTTATGGTTTAGAGTTTACCAAGTCTAACTAAGATAAGATTTTGGATTTATAAGACATTTAGTCACCATTAAAATTGTCACGACCCAATTTAGGATTGTGATCGGCGCTTAGGAACAAGTGCTCCCAAGTAAGCCTCATCGGTAATTTTACAGAAAATCGGGCAGAGTTTCCCCTGTTTTTGGACCACCCCAAAATTTTTCCTGTCTCAAATCAACAACCAAACATCCTAATATCATACCAAACAATTGACAACTTGTCAATTAATCAATACAAGTCTCCACCATAACTAAACCACCAACTAACCACTAGAAATACTAATTTATCTCCAACTTTGATAAATGAGAACGATACTCAACATAAGACTATAATAACGAAAGAATACTCACGACACTAAAATAATGACTATGGAGCGACTCTAAGAGTTCAATGAAAAGACCATAACAATAAATAAAATCTCTGCCCACGCGTACACGTGCGAGGCTCATCGAGAAATATCAACCTGTGCGCTCTAATCAACAAAATCCTCGCCTGCGTCAGCTGCTGTCTCTGTAAAAAAAAAATTAGCGGGGAATGAGTCGCTAGCTCAGTGAGTAATAACACTTAACCACAACCGTTTTTATTGGGGACAAGTCAGAAAACATGCTAGCATATCAAACAGAAAATAACATAAAAATGCCCTTTCAGAAACAATAAATAATTTTCAGTCTCGTCATGCTTTTCTTGTAGTATAATACAATTAACAGTTTGGTAAAAAGCTCGGTAACCACTGTTTCTAATATCAATATTCACATTTGGGAGGTTTCAATGAACGGATCATGTAATCGGTATAACTGTGGACTTCTTCGCAAGAAGTCAAATATAACGGTAGTCCCTACTCGAGGGAAATCGGTAACGGTATGCTAGTTCTACCTTCCCACTAGCGAGAGCTAGAACGGTAATCTGTAATTACAAGGTGCACCAGGACTAACGAACCCGCCGTTAGCTACGGGATCCTTCAATGTCTACTCCCATTTATACTTGTCTCTGTAATCCGTATATACTCATAGAAAATATTTTAAAACAATATAGGGCATTTCGGTTCTTATCAAATCATATAATTTCTTTTCGATAACAGTAAATCCAAGTAACGGTAAAACAGATCTAGTGACAACGAAAATATTTAAAACAACGGTAATCTTCTCAAATAACTATTTCGGTATCATATCGAGTAAAAGACTTGTCCCACATGCAACTTAAAATAATCGGTAACATATTCATATTAAAAATCATGTGTAAATCATGCAAGTTATGAAAACACAAATTGCGGTAAGATTACTACTCACAGTACTCGTGCCGAAATACCAAATGCTTCACCTCGAGCAATGCGTACAAATTCCTCCAATCAATCTATAATTACATAATATCGATCTCATGTTAATTTCCTTATTTAGGCTAATTCATAGCTATTTTAGAAAACGCAATCATCAGGGTTCATGTTTGAGTCTTAATTTGTGGATTTATATTTACCCATGCTATGAGTAATTTTAATTAGTCCAAAAATCTTGTAAATAAAAAGGTATTTATATTTAATCATAGAACTAGTCCATAATTCTATCAATTTTAAACTTTTTAGTATACATTATTCCTCCAAAACTAGACCTATCAGTACCTAAACCAAACCTTTATAGCCTTACTGTCCATAGTAATTATTTATTTATTTATAAAAAAAACTGATATGAAATTTTTTTTGTACTACATGAAATCGCGTAGATATAGTAAAATAATTCAACTTATAAGAAGAAGGTTAACCTCTTGAGCCGAAGGATTCAATTTCAACCCCCAGTTCTTCTTATAGCCTTTGTCCAAAGCTTTCTTCTTCTTCTTTCTCTCTTTTCTTCTTTTCTCTTTCTTTCCTTCCCTACTTTTGTATTTTTCCCGTTTCCTGAAGCTTCTGCTTCATCCCCTAACCCTTTTTAATATTTTAGGGCAGATGTTCGTTATGGGCTTCGGGCCTTTGTCTTAAATTCCTTGTTTTGTTTTGTTTTTTTAGTTAGTTTCTTATTGTTATTATTATAATTATTATTATTATTATTATTATTATTATTATTATTATTATTATTATTATTATTATTATTACTATTATTATTATTATTATTTTTCTAATGACCAATACATCATTATTAAAAATATAGGGTATTACAAAAATGTAACTTGGGAATTGTATAGGTCAAAATCTGACCATCAAATGGTTATTATTAAAGGAAACGGTAAGAGGTCGGTCAAGCCATGGTCGTGCTCACGAGGCGTAATGGTGGTGAGTATCTCGACTGCTGCCGAGATCAGGCCATCAAAAGGCTTACACGGCAGAACGTAACACATGGGCGGGTAAGGAAGGAGTACGGCCATGAGAGGGCACGCTGGTTAAGAACCATTGGGTAAAAGGGGAAATTGAAAATATATATAAGGAAGGCCAAGCAGAAGAAACGGGGGGACCAGAAAAAAAGGAAAAGACAGAGAAGACATAGAAGAGGTCTCCAGGGGCAAGAAGAAGAAGCTCACGTTCTGGATTGCAAACCTGTGCAATCCCCTTCGTTCAATCAATAAAGCTAGATCTTGTAGTCATCACCAAGAATCATCCTTTATCCTCTTTATTTCTACAAACACGAAACGATATGTTGGAAGTTGTAAGCTTATCATTTACATTTAATGTCTTCAATTTAATCTGAGATCTGTTATATAAATTCAATCTCTTGGATTTCAACACTCATGGTGCTTAGATCTAGAGTAGATTATATTTGTCTAAGATTTACCCTCTTTTTATCATTAATTGGTTTAATCAAAGGAGCTTAACACTTTTGGTCAGACAATTTGGCGCCGTCTGTGGGGATTTCTTAGCCAAGTTCTTTAGTTTCCTTTAGATCTAGAACCAGTCAAGTATTACTTCCAGGCTTTTACAATCTCACCACTTCGGGGACAACGCCTACTTGAAACGAATGGTAGATAAGTTCTTGAAATAACCGTATCAATCTAGGTTAGATCCCTATACAATAAAAACCACGACAGATGCCTATACGAGGGGTTTAAGCAGAACCATGGTCACTATGTACTTGGCATGATCGAGATCCCACGCGAAGTATTCACTTTGTATAACAACCCGTACTTCTACCCCTGGGGAAGGGATGATAACCTACTGCATGACCCTTTGGAAGATCAGGCATACCCCACATTATTCTCATATCACTCATGCTAGATGGTCTATAAACAAAGTAGGACATGTTTCCCTTATTACGTACGCATATCAAAAATACTGGGACATAGCCTCGATGTCCCAACGGGTGAGGTAAGCCCAACTCGCAAGAAGTCTAGACGCAGTTAAAGGGTGGAGCTAAACGCGCTACCAAATCAAAAACCACTATTCGAGCACTAGGTGGAGCGAGTGACCCTACAACGTCGCTTCCCCTTTCACCGGCTTGTTAGGTCGAGGTAACAGACAGTTTCATTTTGGTTTATCTTCACTCTTTTGATTGGTTCAAAATAGGAATGCAAGCATTCGCATAGGTATGCAAGCCAGGGACCCACGCCACCAAAACGCCCCTGGAAATGGTTCTGTAGCATACCACCTCGCAAGAAATGCCCAAGCAAAGCCCCCTAAACCACAGCATATCACAAATGACAGAAATGGCTCGGTACAGAAAAACTATAAAAAAAACAACAACAATAATCTCGAGTAAAAGCAAAGTCAAACAAACTGGGACTCGCCCATAAAGCATGTAACATTCTCCAATGAAAGCAAAACTAAGCGAACTGGCACTCACCTAGAAAATGCACAGTATTCTCCAAATGAAAAGCAAAATTAAGCGAACGATTGCCTCGACAACACGACGACGAGTAATGTCCCCCAACGGAAGCAATGCAACGGGTTATAATTTCGACCTTGCTCGAAATAACACCCCTACGGCCATCGGCCTTCGCCAAGAGAGAAGTTCGACCTCGCTCGAACTCACAACGGGTTATAATTTTGACCTTGCTCGAAATAACACCCCTACGGCCATCGGCATTCGCCAAGAGAAAAGTTCGACCTCGTTCGAATTCACAACGGGCTACAATTTTGCTCTTACTCGAAACAATACCCCTACGGCCATCGGCCATCGTTACATGAAAGGAGGGTCCGTCCTCACTCGAACTCGCAACGGGTCATAGTTTCGACCTCGTTCGAATGTATGTCAAAAATTGACTCCGCCCAAGATGGCGATTCCAAGTTCGACCTTGCTCGAATTTACATGGAAAAATTGACCGCCTAAATTAGTAGGTCATAATTCAGTCCCGCTCGAGTATACAAGTCGGAATTAACTTCGCCTAGGATGGCGAGTCTTAATTCGACCTCGTTCAAATTAAGGTTGATTCCGCCTAAGTTGGCAAATTAGAAGCTGGTCTCACCAAAACCCACAAGTTCGAACTCACAATCAAAAGAATCAGGGACTCATCGCGGTGAAAATCAAAAGGATACACAGATGAAGAAGAAACAATTGTTTTATACAAATGTACATGTGCGACAGCCGCCACTTATAAAGGGCCAAAACGGGCCCTTGGGAAAAGATGAAAATGAACAACGAAAGAACAAAATAAAAACTAAGTACATAGGATGCAACAA